TTTTTCCTTTTTCGAATCCATAATTTTACTGTTAAATATTTAATAATTATACATTAACTGAAATACATTTATAGTACAGAGGAAATGCTAAAAGATATTGCAGGTCATGTATTATGTGTCATTGGAATATGACAATAATAATAGTAGAATTTGACTGAAAAAAAAAAAAAAAAAAAAAAAAAAACAGATGTTTCAGCTTTTTAGAATGGAAAGTGGACATCTTTACAGTAAAATCTTAGATGAAAGTTTTACTGTGACTCAACTTGGGAAGACACTGGAAATTTATGGTGGAGGCGGGGTCCCTTTCTTTGCTAAACAGCTGCGTTGAAGTGTGAAATGCTATCTTCAGTATACTTGTAATTGGCTGATGACTCAGAACAGTAAACTGAACTTGCTCGTATTCTAATGACATTTCTCTAGTCTACATCACTACATCGAGAGCACAAAGAAGTTTTTCTTTAAAATTAAATTTGAAAGGGATCTCAAATATAATTCTTCATTATAAAGGTAAGTTATTGATTTGTAATATTACATAAACTAAATTCTTATAATTTCAAACTTACTAAAAATTCAATTTAACTAAACTTTTAATCCATTTATCCTAAAAATCCAAACTTATCACCATTAACAATGCAAATGTCTTCTAATATTAATAACGTATTGTTATATTAACATGAAATATTTTTATGAAATATAAATATAAATATTTTTCCATACATTAAGAAACATAATGACAGGCCAAAAATAAAAAACAAATTTTTTTTTAACTTGTCCTGCGCTATAGCTGCAGGATTGAAGTAAAATAAACTTAAAGCATCTAAAGTTAAAATTAAATTGGAATCAAAGGAAGGCAATTCCTTGACGCTATAAATAACTGCAACCGTGTATAAGAGGTTTAACACAATATCTAAACAAATTTAAAATAAGAATTCATAGTAGCACAAACTCGAAAAATAAAAATGCGAAAGGAAAAACATACAAAATTATAAAAATTATTCTCCTTTTATTGATATTCCAATTCAGAAGAAAATGAATTAAAGCTTCATAATAGTCGATTAATACGTTTCGAAAACATATTTCGTTGTCCTGGTTCATTTGAGATCTAAAACCGTAAAAAGAATCAATTAAATTTTCATTTAAGACATTAAAATTCATATAAAACCGAAAAATCGAATCTGAAATGTACGAGAATTTTCTCTACACGCTTTCGAAACACTTGGAAAAAAGAATAAAACATAACATTGTGCCAAATTGACTACTCAAAAAAAATCATAAAACTTTTCATTATGCAAATTGACCTTTCAAAAAAAAAATTGGTTTAAAGCCATCATATGCAAATCCGAAATTCAAAAGCAATTACAAATAAAGAGCAAAGCAAATGTACTTTAAACCAAATTGTCATTTAAACAACACTCAAAAATTGGGTGATCCCCGATTATGCTAAACTAAACTTCTAATACCAAGAAAACGAAAAACTTTTCATAGAGATTTCTATTTTATTTTTCATATTTTTGTCATTAATAAATTAATTATGAAGATAAAAAGAAAATTAATAGGGCTTAATTTATAATCAATGTAAAAACAGGAAATCTGAGGTCTTTCATGATAATTCATAGAAACTAAATAGTGTTAAAGTAGGTCCATTATGTCGATTGATATGCATTAATATCATTTATTGTCCTGTGGCTTAATTTTAGAAAACATCTGTTAAACGAATTACTCTTGGCTTGAATAAAGGTATTCTGATAAGGATATGTATGAATTCGAAACAGAAGTTGTTTTTCAGGAGAAAAGATTGCAGATGAAATAGTTCACATATTCTGTGTATATTGTCTAAGAGATGATGCAAACATGATTTTTTTTTTTTTTTTTTTTTTTTTTTTTTTTTTTTTTTTTTTAAGTTCTTGATATGTATTTCTAATGTCTAATGTCTTCGAACTGCAAATTCATCGGCAAATCTGAACTCCAATAATTCAAAACATAAACAATTCGTTTAACAAACGAAATAAGTGTCTAAAATTATTGAAAACTTTATTTATATTAATGCTTTTCGTGTTTTATTGCATACATTTAAAATATTTTTGAAACATTCTTATTTGAGAATTTAATTATACGGCTTAGAAACAATGAAAACTATACTGCAGCTTAAATTGTAATTGACAGGAAAGTAATGCAATACATTAATATTAAGATTATTATATAAAAGTTTTAATTGTCAATTTTTGTGCTTATGTATGTTTAAATATCTGTAATTCCATTATCTTCGGTTTTTATAGCTATAATTCTGCCTAAAATACAAATTTTTCTTATGTCCTTTCATTCTTTTATTGCCCACCAGCGGCCGAGCGGTAAAGACGCTGAACACTGGTAGTTCGGTCCGAGGTTCGAATCCCGCAAACGGGCTGGCTGCATGGGCGTTTTCGTGGTTTTCCCCATGTGTAACGTGTATACGAGCCAGTTTCCCTTAAAAAGTCCTCCACGAAGGCTTCCCTCCCTTTAGGCAGATAGCCCTCGTGTGCTTTGCCATAATTAAATAATCCAATCCATTCTTTTATCATTAAATTAAAGTGTTTATGTCTGTATACTCTAAATTTGCATTATCCTTGATTTTTAAAATGATGCGAAAAACTAAACTTTAAATATTAAGCAATATTAAATTCGATAACAGGCGTAAAAGTCAACAAAATATTAATTCCAAATTGCCCGAGATATGTTTTTGCTTGTATATGTGTGTATATTATGTAAATGTGTGTATTTGCATGTATATGTGTGTATTCAATATCTTCCTTTCTTTTGTCTTTCGTATCCTATCTTACTAATTTTCTTACTTTTCATTTGTTTCAATATTCATATAAGTTTTACGATTTGCTTATTATTTCTTTATATACATTAGTTTTAAAATTAAAACATACCTTTTAATTTTACATTTTATTTGATTTTAATTATTCGTTGTTTTATTTGTTTAATTTATAATCATTTTTCATTCACTGTTCTTGATGGCTTACAGTAGGACTCTGACACCTTTAGTTCCTAAATTAAGCCCAGGTTTAATAAATATCAATGTGCATAATTTTAACCTCTAAAGACTTGTATGCTTTTTCGGATTATCCCGGCAAAGATTAATCACACAGAAACTACATACATTACAGAAGCTAGTTAATCAGAAACTTATTGTAATGAATTTTTACATTAATCCTTCCAGATTTTAGTTCAGGAAATTAATATAATAAAAACATTAAAAAAAAAATGAAAAAAATATATAGCATTAATTCAGAAAAAAATCTGAAAGGTTTCAGATTTTAAATTACGTTTAAAGGGGCGTTTTTTTAACGTTTTGTGTGTTACCTTTATTTATTAAATATCATGTTTTTTACACTTAAACCATAAAATTCAGTTTAACAGCAATGTCGCAAAATAATTTTAAAATCAGCATATCTTTAGAATTTCCGATACACAGTTCCGCGCGATTTTTTTTTCCTCGTAGAGTGTTGTCACTGCTCACTTTTAAATCGGTGAGTTTGTTAATAAAAAATTCGTTAAAGTTTTACACAGTATGAAATAGATAATAAAACAAATTCCAAATTTGGGCTTCCAGATGCCCATATTCGGGTGGAAACGTACGTTATTCAAAATTGGAATGGCTCTAGGTACCGTTGTTTTATCCCAATGCAAGAAATATAGATACGTTTATGCAGATTCTTCCTTATTTAATTTCATTAAATATAACACAGGGCGATAATATTGGGTGGCAACAATTTGAAAAGTGAATCGGACATTTATAGTGAACCAACGCAAAATGCCGAAAACGAAAATAATAGTCCGACAGAGCAAATTGCACCTTTTTTGGACTAAAAAATTAATTTATTTTGCTTAATTTTTATTCGTTAAATATTTATACTGGTTGCAATAATCTTTTTCACAAGCATATTACTCTCTCCTGATAGTATAAACAATAAATTTAAAAATTTAAATTTGATCAATCTTAGCTACATTTGCGCTAGATTTTTCACACTAAAAGTTCTAAATTTTTAGCCCAAAAAAGGCTATTAATTTCGTTTTGGCATTTTGCGTTGGTTCACTATAAATATCGTTTCACTTTTCAAATTGTTGCCACTAAATATTACAGCCCTGTGTTATATTTAAAGAAATTAAATAATGAAAAATCTGCATAAACGTATATATATTTTTCGCATTGGGGTAAAACAACGGTATCTAGAGCCATCCAATTTTGAATCATGTAATCTTGCACCAAATATGGGCATCTGGAAGCCCGAATTTGGAATTTGAAATTTGTTTTATTATCGATTTCATATTTTATAACTCTTTAACGTGTTTTTGATTAAGAAATCTCAACGATTTCAAAGCGAGCAATGGAAATTTTGTACGGAAAAAAAAAAAAAAAAAAAAAAAAAAAAAAAAAAAATTATCGCTAGTGCGCGAGACTGTGTATCGGAAATTCTAAAGATATGCTCATGCGATATTGCTGTTGAATTTAATTTAATGGTTTAAGCGGGAAGAACATGATATTTAATAAATAAAAGTAGCACACGAAACTTTAAAAAAATGCCCCTTTGGGCGTAACGTAAAACCTGAAAGCTTTCAGATTTTTTTTTAAATTTCGTATGAACTAATTTTGCCCCTCTAGCCGTTTACTTGCAGTAAGTTTCTCACTGGCTTTACCCTTGTCTCGTTTCTGGCTTGATTATTCATTTTCTTTTTCAATTATTTATTTTTTTCATGGATAACTTATATGGCGCTCCCTCCCCCGAATCAAGCACAGAAGCAGAATATTTTGTCTGTTTGGTTAATTAAGTGGAAATTTTTTAAGTTAATTGCTCTTATTTTTTTATTTTCATCTTATTCAGTGTTTTATTGCCAATAAAATAACGTTACAGAAAGAGCTATTTTTTTACAAATTCTGCAAAATTTTTTAAAGGTTTAAACAAAAAGTAAATAAAAATTAACACAAATCATTGTTTACATTTTAATTTTTTTTTTTATTTGTGGAGGAAATTTATTCTGTACTATTATAGCTTGCTAAAAATATTTATTCTAGTTTCTTATGGCATTCGGCGTCATCCTTGGCAGACAAAATTTAAAATTTCTCTCGTCTCAGTTGCTATTTGGCATGATATACTCATTCATGTAAACCACGAGAGTAAATTCTGCAAAGTATAAAGACGAATCTGCAGTCAGCTGTCGGAGCTCTGCAGAATGAGAAAACAGAAAGTTAGCCAACAGATTAGAAAGCTTGTAGAAGTGATAATAATAATTTAATAATTTAAATAATAATTTAATAGGTTTCATCTCCGAAGAAAATTAAATGGCAGAAACGTTAGAAATCTACCCTTCCTTTAGCCAGTCCATCATACCCTAAGGCGATTGTTCTTCAATATTGTATAAAATCTTGAATGTTTTTGCAAATATACTGGAGTAGGAACTTCGAAATTTTGAGCTGTCCAAATTTCCTATAACAGTTGCAAGTGGAGAGAGATATTTTTCAAAATTAAAATACATACAAACTTGTTTAAGATCTTCTATGACGGAGACTAGGCTGACAAATCTTGCTCTAATTTCTATAGAGCAAGATACACCTAAAGAAATTGATCTTTCTGACTATGTTCGAGAGTTTTCGGAAATGAAGGCAAGGAGCTTTTATAAAATTATAGCTAATATTATAAAATAAAAGTTGTTACCCTGGTGGAAAAAAAAATCATTCAAAAATAAATATTTACACATATTTTGGCGCAATTGAAAAATAGGACTATTCTTCAGTCTTGTAGATTTCTTTACTTCTGACGAAGAGGGACCTAAACCTGCTTGCCCTAGAAATTGTTTGAGATCTTAACATAAATCTACACAAACTTAAGGTTATTGTGTTACTAATTTTGTTTCACTCGGCGTGTTTCTCTTCTATTTTCACAGAATATATTGTTTTCAATGTTTTATAATATAACCAGTTATTTAAGTTTGCTAAATTAAGCGAAAAAAATCTTAGATTGGTGCAGAATTTATAAAAAAATTCGAAAACATATTTGTATGTATAAACCTCTTGGATTTTATATAAAAATCTCCGTAAAACTAAGCTTTCTTACTTGTCTTAATGCTATACTTTACGTGACATGTTCCTTTAATTATATAGACTTATTCATTTATTATCAGTATGTATCTCAGTGAAAGGAGAGAAAAGTCTGTCTCTCGCACGCACACAAAAAGTCTTAAATAACTGATTAAAATTCATATGATATCAAATACCCAGACTAAAGCAAATTTCACAGTTGATCAAGGGAAAATATTTTCCTTTTTATTCTTTCTTCATGTTACGTACCTTTCAACTGGTTCTCTAAGGATGTGCTTTTATTTTTTAACGAATAATCCAGATGTAATAAAATTCATCATAAAAACACTGGCTTGTGAAATCCTTGATTTTTTTTTAACTTTTTAAAAATTTTAATTTTAATTTTTATTTTTAAGCACATTAAATTTATTGAGGGGGGCCCAGGAAATATTTTTGCATAGGGGTCCAAGAGTTCTAGTTGCGCCACTGTTTGTAATAGGAGGTTAAAGAAGAAACAAACGGTTTTGTTTGCTTTATTTGAATTTTCTTGATTATTGTTTAACAACCCATTTTCAAAGCCATAAACTACTGTTTTGAACTATTGACTCAAAGTTTTCCTTAGAATTTGCAGTGCTTTTCTAGATTCGATGGATGGTAGGACGTCATCACTTTGCTATCAATTTCTGCCAGTTCTTAAACACCTTTCATAATTAGTTTTTATACAGGTTGTTTCAATATCGTTGCGAACTGACACAGATTCTGAAAATGAAAGCTCATAACTTCTTTGACTGATATTTGAAACATTAGCTAAAGCCTGCAATTTCTTCGAAGCTTCTTCTAGACAAATGCCACATTTTCGGGAACAGATTTTATAGGATTTCGAGAGCTTTGCCCGTGCTTTGTCTGTTACATGTACTGCCTCTAACAGAGATATCGTCTTACTTATCTCTTTCCTAGCAGGGCCGTAGCTATAGGGGGGCAAGGGGGGCATCTGTCCCCGGGCGCAGAATCCAAGGGGCGCCAAACTGATGTTACGACATTTTAGAATTAAATGTTTTCCATCCTTGGCAAGCAGTAGGGGGCGCGAAATCTTCAGTTATCCCTGGGCGCTGAAAACCCTAGCTACGACTCTGTTTCCTAGCGTTTGCATTTTCCCAAAATTCAGTTATGTTCATCATCTGCTGAATATTTCCAGTAATGTCATTTGAAAGCTTTTAGAATACCTTAAAATTAAAGTCTGAATGTTGGAATTTGTGGCTTAAATCTTTTCGCTTGGCATTTCGACAGGGTACAAGTTAAGCACGGAAGCAAATTTAAAAAATGCTCCTACCAATGATTTATTCAAATTTCAAAATTTACGTTTCTAACCTGCAGAAAGATTGTTTTCTATCTGTTTATTAACCTTGAGGTTGTTAGCATGGAAATTCCTTTGCTTGCTTTTTCTTTAGTCTGGAAACATTTTCCAATTCCTTTCCATTCGAAGACTTTTAAGATACGATAATACTAGTATACAGAACTTCATAAACTCCTTTTATAACTCGCTGGGAACATTATCTATCTATCCCAAAATGGAAGGTTTTGAATGCAAAGACCTTAAAAGATGGGACATAACTTGTACTTCCAACTCTTATCACACACAACTAGTATTCGGGAAGATGAGCCAGAGTCCCTTAAAAAAGTCCTTCATGAAAGCAATTAATTCCAAATCATTTTCACTTCAAAAGTGTTCCTCCGTTATTGACAAGCAAGCAAATATATCATTTTAATAATACAAATGAATCCACTGATTCTGTTTTCGAATATCAATTTTAAATCCATTCTTGGATGATGTCATCTTGCAATTAGTTACATAAGTTAGCCGTGGAAACGTTGTACAGAAAAAACAGTTTTATCTCCAGTGCGCGAGAATGTGTATCGAAAATTCTAAACACAGGATCATTTGATAATTATTTTGCGATATTGCCGTTGAACTGTATTTTATGATTTAAGTGCGAAGAACATGATATTTAATAAATAAAGGTAACCCGTGCATTGTCTGTTATATGTACTGCCTCTAACAGAGATATCGTCTTACTTATCTTTTTCCTAGCAGGGGCGTAGCTAGAGGGGGGGGCAAGGGGGGCATCTGTTCCCGGGCGCAGAATCCAAGGGGCGTCAAACTGATGTTACGACATTTTAGAATTAAATGTTTTCCATCCTTGGCAAGCAGTAGGGGGCGCGAAATCTTCAGTTATCCCTGGGCGCTGAAAACCCTAGCTACGACTCTGTTTCCTAGCGTTTGCATTTTCCCAAAATTCAGTAACACACAAAATGTCGAAAAAACGCCCCATTGGACTTAATTTGAAAATTTAAAATTTGAAACTTTTCAAATTTTCTTTTTTTCTTTTTTAAAATTATTGTAGTAAGTTAAAGAACTTTCAAAACTGCTGAAATTTTTGGCGACCCCCTGCTGCCTGTCCCGTGACCCACAGTTAGTAAATCATTAATGTCATAAATAAAATATATTCCATGTGTAAAAGTTGCAATAAAATTCAGAACACCTAAAAATGTAATAAAAATACTGCGTGGACATTTATTTTATGATTTCAGAAAAAATTTGCATTGATATTTGAAGCTGTTCCTGAGTGATGTTTAATTAATTGCCGTAATCAGATAAACCAAAGCAAATCTTTAATGTCATAAATAAAATATATTCCATGTATAAAAGTTGCAATAAAATGCAGAACACCTAAAAATGTAATAAAAATAGTGCGTGGAAAGCATTAATTAAGAAAATAAAAAGGAATAATAAAAATGCTGCATGGGAAGCATTATAATAAAGTGAGCGGATTCCTCTAATGGCCAAGAGGCTCACCAGTGGCAGAGCGGTAAAATCGCTGAACACTGGTAGTTCAATCCGAGGTTCGTATCTCGCGAACGGGCTGGCCGCATGAACGTTTTCCCATGTGTTACGCGTATATGAGCCAGTTTCCCTTATAACGTCCTCCACGGAGGCATCCCTTCTCTTAGGCAGATAGCCCTCGAGGCCGTCAACAAATAAACGAAACCTCTGATAGACAAACGGCGAAGTCGCTAAACTTCGGTTAATCAACCCTTCTTTGAATCCCGGCGAATGCATTGTCTACATAGACGATTTCGTGGTTTTTCTCATGTGTAACGTTGGTACGAGTTTGTTTCCCTCAAAACGTGCTAAGCGTAGGCATCTCTCACCATAGCTTTCGAGTTTCTCTGCCTGGATAAATTAACCTGACCTGAGGAGACGAATGTTTCATGGACTCGTCTTTAAATGTTGCAAATGCCTTTAAATGCTGCAAAGAAAGTATATTACACGTGTAAAACATGTAAATATAAAATGACGAACAGCGAGTTGTTTTCTCTGTTCCAGAAACAGGTAAACGGGTAAAAGTGCATAGGCCACCAGAATCTTCATTTTTCCAAAATTCTTGTTGTCGAGACATTCTTACGTGTTCTCAAAAAGAAAGTATTTGTATCCCTATCAGTATGAAAGCGCTGTGTTGAAAGAAATAAACTAATATTCAACATACTACTTCAGAAATGCAACGTGGCTACCAATATATTTGGAATTTTCTGCTATGAATATTTCTTTCCCCAATCACCAAACCCTCAAAAAGGTTTCTAGCTTCTTGATGAAATACTTTCAGAAATGTTCAGCGAAATTTTCTCCAGTTTCATTTTAAAAGCTTTTTTGCAGTACCACTCTCGTTTTGTACAGGAATGTTTGATCTTCAAAGGAATTTCTTATTATGTTTACAAACATTACATTCACCATCATGTCTGCCTTTATGAGAAAGTTATGTACGCTTTGAAATAGTAAACAGACTTTCACTGAGCAAACTAAATACCTTATTAAAATGAAAGGCTCTTAGGTCAGTATACATGGCCTGAATCAATAAAATTCACTCTATACGTTACTACCCTCGCGAAACTAAAAGGATGTTTTACGTCCTTATGTATCGATTGGCTACAGCACATTCTTCAAATTTTTAATACGTTGTGTTTCTTAAAAAAAAGCCCCACAATTTAAAAAAAAAAATCTGATATGTACACTACATGACTTCCTTGTACGGAATATTAAATTATATGCATTTTTTCTTGCATTTATTATTGGATTGAATTAAATCTACTTCGCCGACAGCGCTTAAACCACAATAGAATAAATGCATTCTTTAAAATTCATTCTAGTATTTGTTTACCATAGCGACACTCTGGCGCTAGATTCACTTAACAGTATTATATTTCGCTCATATTATAACTCAGAATGCACAAAATTTATATCATTTAAAGAATAGAATTATCTAATCGTTGCCACATGTTCTATTCAAATACTATAATAAATCTAGAATGATGTATAAAAGAAATTAAGCACACAAAACAGAAAAGAACAGTTTTTTACAGACGATTGAGTATTTCTCATTCAATTAATTCAGGTCTCACTTCGCGACAAGGCAAAAATACATAAAAACTCAAAATATCTATATTAAAAATTACGAAGTAAATCTTAAACACTTATTTCCTCGAAAAAATTCCAGGCAGGATTGATCATAATTTAATTCGCAATAATAAATGAAGGCGTTATTTTTGTGTTGCGAAGCTTAGTCTCTCTAAATTGGCAACAAATCTACAATTCTGATGTTTCAAATGTAAACAAATATGTCCGCCATGTTATTTAAAACTTAACCGCACTTAAACAGCTTTTAAATTGTTGATAATTGTACAAATATTGCTTCCAGAATTACGAAAGGCATAAAATCCTGAACCGGAAGATAAAAACAACATAATTCAATCATTTTTAAAGCAAAAAATGTACAATTTACAAACATATAAGAGTAAAGACACTGAGATCACTGAGCCGGGTAACAGAGTGGATATATATATAAATATATTTATATACGTTTGGCGCGGCCGATTGCAACCAAAATACGAGGTGCACATCTCCATGTTATAGCAGTCCTATATGCAAAATTTCAACGTTCTGAGGCTACTCGTTTTTGAGTTATGCGAGATGCGTACGTATGTACGTACATAAGTTCGTACAGACGCCACGAAAAATTCTCTTCAGAATTAATTTTAAAGCAGTTTTATAATTTTTTTGAAGGAAATGAGTCTTTTATTCTGTCCTTACGTACAGATATCACTCAAAAACATCGTTAAATATCATTCGATAGCGGTCAAACTGGATATTTTCGTTGAAATATGCTGCCTGAAACTTTTCGCGATTACAATACTTCCTTTTTACTTCGTACAAGGAAGTAAAAATGTATTACATGTAACAAAATTACAATGAAATAAGCAATATCCCTTAACACAAATAATAATTATCCTAATAAATAAATTAACCAACTTCCCGTTGCCTTCTCTCAACAAACGTCCTGTATCCAAGATTAACATTCAATTTAAAACTGCGCAGAATGATCGCCCTCATTTTTCGAAGTGGGAACAGTGCTGATTTTCAACAGTCAGCAGTCCAGTATACAACTGAGTGAGAAACTGTTGCCAAAATCACATTTTTAAAAGAATGAAACTATTCAAAATGATGCGATAAAATCGAAAAGATAAAATTTAAAAAAAAATCTGATCCGAATTTTGAAAAAAAAAAAAAAAAAAAAAAAAAAAAAATCGCTTCGAGGTGCACTTGCTCTTGTCTAGATGCACTTACATACCAAATTTCGTAGTCCTGGGTCTATTAGCTTACGCGCACCACGAACAAAAGACACACAGACTCTTTCTTTAGTTATATGTAGAGATTTCATATTTTGTAACACTTCAACGAATTTTTGACTAAACGATTTCAAAGCGAGCAATGGCAACACTGTACGAAAAAAAAAAAAATTTATCTCCAGCGCGCGAGACTCTGTATCGGAAATTCTAAAGATAGGCTCATATTTAAATTATTTTTGATATTGCTGTTGAACTGGATTTTATGGTTTGAGTACGTAAAACATGATATTTAATAGATAAAGGTAACACACAAAACTTTAAAAAAACGCCCCTTTGGACGTAATTTAAAATTTGAAACCTTTTAGATTAAAAAAAAAATTTTTATTTGTTAAATAGACATTTCCGTATTGCGATCTTTCGCTTAGTTTAATTATTCACGACAAAGCACGAAAAAGCTCTCTGCCTAAAGGGACAAACGCCTTCGTGGAGGACTGTTTAGTGAAAGTGGCTCTTATACACACAAGTTTTCGACGGGATTTGTGATTTCGACGGGATTTGAACACGAGACTCTGATTCCGATTCGATTTGTAACCGGACGTTCTTCTAACTACAGCACGAAGATTAAAAACGAACAATTTTATTTGTTATATCAAACTGCTATTACGTATTTATTTTATGATTTCATAAAACAATTGAATTGGTATCAAGAAAAAGAAAACAATTTAAGTTGCCATGGAAATCGAAGACGGCATTTTATTTCTAGATTTTGGATTCTAACGGTTTGAGAGAATAGAGTTAAAGAGTGCCATGAGTGTTTTCGAAATG